ACCACAGGAGGCAGCTTGGGACCCACTTTCCCCAGACCAAAGGAAAATGCGTGTGGAGAGCCAGTTGCTCGGACAGCACTCCTGGGTTTACCTTTTGCAGTTTTCACACACTAGCAGGTCATCTCCTACCCTGGTAATGAATGGGTACTCAAACTATCTCCTCTTGCCCATCTGCAAAGGGCAAGGAGCCACCAGGCTCTGTGTGAGGCTTGGCAACCCGGGTCTTCCCGCCGAGGTCGAAGACACATGTCCAGCCTCTGCTCACCAGGCTCATGAGGTGAGCAGGCACAGCCTGCAAAGGAAGCACCCAGGAGACAGGACACTACAGGCACATGAAGGAGCCGTGAAGCTATGTGGGAAATGCTCTCACTAGGAATCTGGGTGAAGAGTATTATTTCTGCAACCTTTCTGTATATTATTTCAAAACAGAGTTTTAAAAGACTTAAAAATGAAACAACCATGTTGAATTTCATTCAGAAATCCGAATTTTGAAAGAACTGACTTCTCTCAGTGTTCGACACGGTCTGACTGCTGTCACTGCAACTAGGAAAGGTAGCTGTGGCTACTACATTTCAACAGCTTCCTCTAAAAACAATTCTTTTTTTGAGTTGAAATCTCATTCTTTCACCCAGGCTGGAGTGCAGTGGCATGCTCACTCACCGCCACTCCAGTGTCAACCTTCTGGGCTCCAGTGATCCTTCTACCTCAGCCTTCCGAGTAGCCCAGAACTACAGATGCGCGCTACCACGTCCAGTTATTTTTTATTTTATTGTAGAGACGAGGTCTCACCAAGTTGCCTGGGCTGGTCTCGAACCAGCGGGCTCAGGCAATCCACTTGCCTCGGCCTCCCAAAGTGCCGCAATTACAAGCTGAGCCACCAAACCCGGCCTAAACACAATTCTTAAAAGCTGTTCTGAATATTACAACATGGCAAAAGAAGAAATCACATACTCTGGCCAAGCAGTGGTGAATTTACTATTTGTAATATGGAAAATAAGAACACAAATTTCAGACTCAGTGTATTAATTCACTGATGAATAAAAATTCCTGCAGATCAAATAGAATAGAGGAAAAAAAGGGAGGGGGGGAGAGGCAAAATGGCCATTTCTGCAAAGTAGAATTATGGTGTTTGTTTTTCCAGCTTAAGCCCATCCAGATGTCCGCTTATGAAATGAATTACTTTTATTTAACTAGGAAGAAATAAGTTTGGGATATTTTCCTCTATTTGTATGTTTTCCTCACACAGCATCGAATACTGAATTATCAGCAAATATCCACATCTGTTTTGTTGACAGAACATCAACTGCTTGAGACCAGGTGGGGGTGTTACTAACTAGCAGTTTCTTTGGGTTTAAGAAGATTTTAAGGCAAATAATGACTACTAATCCTTGCACGTCAGCTCTCAAACATTTTTCTCCCTCTCCCAGGCTAAGGGGTTGATCATTGCAGGGAGAGGGACTCTTTGCTGCCCGGGTCAGTTTGGCAGACATAGTTGCTCCACACATACCTCCCTCAGGGATTATGCTGGGCGACATGAGCAGGGGGCATCTGCTCCCCTCCAGGCCCAACAGCCAACTGCCCGCTTCCCACCTTTTCTTCCAATGCAAAGAGCTGGAGGGATTTAAAAAAACTTGTGTCAGAACCTGCATGTCCAGACTCAGCACTGTACAGCAGGCAGGTGACAATGCTCAGTGCTTGCCATCCCAGGCTGCCCTGAGAATTCGTCAAGGGCTTGGCCCTGGCTCTGCTAAATGCACCTGCGGCCCAGCGAGGGGAAGATGCTGGCCGTCAGGTGTGCATCTCCTGAGGGCTGGGCTGGCGTCCAGGCCGGTGTCTGCAGATGCCAAAGCTTGGGTCCTTCTCCTGGCACCCTACCTTCTCTAGTTCCTGTCACTCCTATACAACTAGCCGGCCAGTATCAGAACAGACTCAGAATCTCTTGCTGCGGTTATTATGGGTAAGAAGTAGGGACAGGGTTATTTGCTCTGCTGAAGGCTTTTAAGAAACCTCTGCAGATTGTGTCCGCTCAGAAGGCTGCAGACGGCTCAGGTTACCCATCTCTGACTAAGCCTTCTTGAACAGAGTGGGTAGGGATGGAGCTTCCGCTGACAGCTCACCCAGGAGCTCCTCTGCAACGAGACATGCCTGCAGCCTGTGACGTCCACTCTCATGTTATCAGACACACATCTATGTGATCACGAGTCCCTGCCTAGAAAAAGAAGCCGGCCCACGGTGCACAGTGGTCTTTTCCAAAAGCTGGAAATGAACGTCTACTTGACTCAATAAAGTAGCAAGCACGCCACACGTTGACGGTACTGAGCCCTTTTCTTTCATTGCAAAGACCTGAGGTCTTTCCAAGGGCATACTGTTAGCACTGAATTACTGCCTCCAAGCTGGCCAGCCAGGCATGTTTGCTTTGAGGCTCTGCTCCCGAAGCTCCCTGTGTAGCTTCTTTAGATAGTTGTGGCAAAGGTGGGTCTTGCTGCTGGAGGTGAACTTTTTGCAAACCATACACACAACCACCGGCTCAGTCCAGTGTGAGCCTAAGTGGGAGGGCAGAGACACACTTGCTGGGGGTTGCATTTGAACTGTACAGGAATAGCAGTACCTAACCTATGCATGGCTCATTTTTCAGTGACAAAGTTATGATTCCTAGTCTTAATGTTGCCCTTCTCGATTTTCTCCTCTTAGTTCCTGCATTGACCACATAAGTCCAGGGTGAAAGAAAAGAAACCCACCCAGAAACCTCAGTCAGGAATCAACTGGCCACCAAGAGTGGTAGAGAAGTGGGGACAGTGCCCAGTGCACGGGAACAGCCAAGGCGGGTGAGGGAAGCCCCAGCACTCCAGACCTCTGGGGAGTAGCCTCTGATGCCCTACAGTAGCATGACACAGAAGGAAGCTCCCAGGTCAGCATAAGGGGTCACTCTGTGCCTGGCACTTCTGGGATGTGTGACCTTGGTCCAGCCCCATCCAGTTCTCAGGGCCAGTTCTCCTCCCATTAAAATGCCTGGGGTCAGTCTGAGCTCTAATATCTATGCACGTTTGCACCCCTTAAGCTGAGAGCTTTAAATCAGTTCTGGTGGAGCCTGAACATAATAGACAACAGCATCTTGACAGACAAAACCCAAACGCAAAAGAAACCACAGCAAGTAGAAATGACACAAGATACTATTATTTTTTTTTTATAAACGTGATTTAAACTAAACTAGGGCATAAACCACTCTGGTTTCAGAAAAAGCCAAAATACTGAAACAATCTTTCATTTCAATACTAAAGTCAAGAATGTCTTAAGCCAAATTAATTGAAAAGGAATTTGAACTCACTTGATAAGATGCTTCCTATTCACACATCAAAGCGCATCACTCAACTCCTAGACTGACAGAATTTCTGAGCATAGAGATCATCTAGGGCAATTCACTCCTTTCACTGATGGAAAATCAAAATCCAGAGCGGGCCTGCGACGTGGCCAAGGTCACAGAGGCACAGCAGGGTTGGGAACCCAAGATCCCCGAATCCGCTTCATTTGTGCTCAGGTTTCTGACAAAGGGCGAGGCTCTGGGTCCTGCACACAGTCAGAGATAAATATTTTATGGTGAATGAGTAAAACTAAGTGGTATTCCCTACAGTGCATGGTTCTTCTAACTGGTTCATAAATAAGCGATTTCCAGGTTATGGAGACATCCTAGAACACAATTAAATACTTCAAAATTCCATTTTTAACTCCTCAGAAGCCAGAGTGTAGCTTCTTAGGCTTATCTACATCAGGTAACAGTCTTATCAAGTAAGGGAACCAAGGGACAAAGAAATCCCCCTCCAGAGCCCACAAGCCTTTCACCTGGTGACAGAGGAACAGCCTGCCTGCAGCTTTAGTACTGTGTTTATATCAGTCACCAAATTCAACCATGTCACACACAGATCTTCAATGTACTGAATTAGGGACAAGGAACAACAGACCTCTTCCCGCTGCAGTACCGTGGGAAAACCCGGGATTCCTTTTCTGGGAGGGTTCAGGATAGTAGGGCAGTGAACAGAGGCAGAAGCTGGGGTCTGGGAAATGGGTTTGGCTGAACACACAAGAAGAGCACCGGGAACTGGTGCCGAGGGGAAGGTGGGTGGAGGCGAGAGAGGCCTGCGGGAGGCTGGCTGGTTCCCAGGGCGCCAGGCCGGGAGGAGAGGGCCAGGACCCAAGCCTGGACCTGCATGAGGGGCAGTCTCAGAGCTGGCGGGGGTTCCGGGGCTAGGTTTTGGGGCGGGTTGGCGGGGGTTCCCTGAGTGGTCGAAGGGGGTTTCGGGACAGGGAGTCCGGGAACGATTCCTGCGTGGGTTGGGGAGGGTCTCGGGATGGGAGAGCTCCGGGGGGGGGGGAGGAAGTGTCTGGACACAGAAGGTGTTCCGGTGGGTCTCGGGGCCAGCGGGAGAGGGTGTCTCGTGATGGGGGAGCTCTGAGGGGACTCGGGACAGGGGGTTGTCCCGGGACGGGTCTCTGGGTGGGCGGGGAGGGGGTGTCTCGGGATGGGGGAGCTCCAGGGCCGGCTCTGGGCAAGGGGTGTCCCGGGTCGGGTCTAGGGGGGCTCCTGGGGCAGGCGAGGGTCTCGGGGCGGGCTCCCGGGGCCGGCGGGGAGGGGGTGTCTCGGGATGGGGGTGCTCTGAGGGGACTCGGGACAGGGGGTGTCCCGGGACGGGTCTCTGGGGGCTCCCGGGGCCGGCGGGGAGCGGACGTCCCGGGATGGGCAGGCTCCGGGAAGGGTCTCGGGGGGTTCCCGGGGCTGGCAGAGGTCTCGGGGGTCTCCTGGGGTCGGCGGGTAAGAGGCGTCCCGGGATGGGGA